CGGAGGTGCTTCCCCCTTCCCTCTCCTTCCCTGCTCACCTGGTCCCTTCGCAAATAACCTTTTCCGTCTGCAACAGATTCCCGGCTTTTTATTTCTATAATCAACTGAGGAAAGACTCCATCAGGCTTTTCTGGTAAGATACCTAGATTTCACAGCAGCAGCAGGAACCGTGGAAGCCATGTTGTCTAGTTTCCTAATGTCACCTGCAGCTCTGGGCCGGGCCACGGCACAGGCAGTCCGAGCCTGCACCTGCAGCTCTGGCATCCCATGTGCTCTCCGCTTTGAGTCTTGGCTGTTCCACTTCTAATCCAGCTCCCTGCTAATGACCTTGGAAAACTCCCTGCTAATGACTTGGGAGGGGCCCAGTCCTTGAGTTCCTGCACCCACATGGGAGCCTGGGAAGAAAGTTCCTGGCTCCTGGCTCCAGCCTGGCTCTGTCCCAACCATCGCAGCCGTTTGAGGATTGAACCACCAGATGGAAGAGCTCTCTCTTTGCTACTTTTGTCTCTGTGACTCTGCCATTTAAACAAAAATAAATCCATAAACATTTAAAATAAGTCGTGTGGTCTGATTGCACCTGCTTACCCCCCACTCCTAGGTGCAGGGGGCACCACCGCTGGAAACACCTCACGGAAAGCCCGGGGGCCCCACTCCCAGCGAGCACCTGCTCCAGGCTGATGAAAGGATCCTGGGTCAGCTCGGCTTCCAGTTCCGCTGACATCAGTCAAGAGCAAACTTTCCCCAAACCAACGAAAAGCAGAACACGCAGGCTTCTAAAGAATGTCCATATTTATTTTACAGCTTGACCGTACACATTTCATGCCAACACAGGAGGCACATACAAACAAATGCTTCTCTTTTCCAAAGTCACATGGCAATAAATAAAGGGGGTGGGGTGGGGTCTTTTTTTTTTTCCTTTCCCTACCCTCAGGAAACAAGACTTGATTTCTTTTCAACTGTACAAAATTTACAGTGCGAGGGATGAGGGCAGCAGTTCCGAGCTAAGGAGACCCAGGGAGCCTTTTGGGCTGAGTGCGAGCTAAGAGCAGCTTGCTGGCACTCCGCAGCCCTGAGCCTGCTTGCTCAGCTCAACACAGTGCTGGGGTTCTTGTCTGCAGGTGTGTGGTGGGGGGTATCCTTGCTCTGTCCATCTGTGCCCTGCCTCCCTAAGCAAAGGGACGCTTGGCCCACTCCCCCCCCCCCAGCCTGCCGCTGCCTCCTCACCAGAGCTGGCAGCATCAAACTGTGCTTTTAACGTGGTCCTACCAAGCAGGTTGTGGATGGAATGACTGCTGAGCCCTCTCTCTCTCTCTTTCTCTCTCTCCCCCTCCCCTCTCTCTCTTTCCTCTCAGGCTTGCGGTCACTGTGCCAGAAGCAGCTGGAGCAGTTGCCACACAGCCAGCTGACCAAGCCGAGAGAGAGAGAGAGAAGGCAAGAGAGTGAGCCAGTGATGTGCTTTTTTCTTTAGCTTTCAGCATGCCCAGAGCCCTTCAGCGGCAGGCAATAAAACAAAACTCATTTCCGCTTAATTGAATTTTTCTTCGTCTCATGGTGTCCAAGTTTTAAAGTGCAATGTTTAAAAAATGAGCCTCCTCGGGCCTTGCACACCTGCCGGTGGAGGGAGGTGTGGCTGCTGCTGCCAGGGTTCCAGGCAGGTCGTCCGTGGCTCAGCAGAAGCCTCAGGCCTCCTCCCGCCAGGAGGCAGGTGGTTCACATTAACCAACTTGAGCTTCAAGGGGCGTGTCTTTTGGTCTACATGTGTCTCCAGACTTCTCCACAAAGTGAACTTAATAATGAAGATTTAACAGCCCCCAGTGATCTTATTAGACATGATGTTTTGCAGTGGTTTCAAACCAAAGAAAAACAAACAAACAAAAAAACCTGTGGGTGTTTGGCCCAGCAGTTGGTTTGCTTGGGATGCCCACAGCCCACAGCAGAGGCCTGGCCACTCCGCTTCTCTCCCAGCTTCCTGTTACTGTGCACCCAGGACATAGTAGATGATGGCTCCAGTACTTTGGTCTCTGCCCCTCCCCACCCCGAGAGAGTCCCGGGCTCCTAGCTTGGGCCTTGTCCCAGCACTGGGTGCGGTAGGCATCAGGGGAAGTGTACCAGCAAGCAGAAGTTCTCTGTCACTCTTTCAAATAAAATGAAAATAAATAAATAAATAAATAAACCTTCAGGATATAGCCAGGTGCTTTTGTTGATGTCTGAATGTGTTCTGTTTCCCTGATGTCTCACAGGTAATTTACAGGAATAATGTTACCAACGCAGTAGTCACTGCCCACTGTGTACTATCAGACCAGACAAGAAAGAGAAGCCAGAGACTGAAGGGAACTGCCTGGGGTTGCCCAGCAAGTCCCCGAAGGGCCAAAAGCCACACTGTGGCCGCCAGGTGAGTCAGCACCGGTCGCTCAACCACGAAGGGGCCCTTCCTCCCTGCCTCTGTCACTCCTTGCCAAGTACTAACATCTCCTTGGCCATTCAGCTTCCACCAAACACCACTGGAGACCTGCAGTGGGAGTCATTTGCTCCTGGCATCCATCAACCGGATGTGGCAGGGAAGGTCGCCAGGCAGCTGTTCCCTTAGGAGCCAGCGACAGGTCCAGATAGACTACAAACACCTCCGGAAGGCGGCGATTCCTTTTTTCTGAGTTTGTCCATGACATCATGGGCAAGGGAGAGGGTGGGTGTCATGTGGCCCTCTGACCGCAGCAGACGGGGTGCCTCTAAGCCAGTGTGGGACCCGCTCCTTTCCTGCTCCAAGCTATAGCGGGCCTCCCACCCCCCTCCCCCAGCAGTGCTGGCAACCGTGGCATTGGTCCACGCACGAAGCTAAACCAGCTTACAGGGAAACCTGCTTGAAGCCTGGGCCCTCTTGCAGCTTTGTTTCTACATGGGCACCAGCATTTACTGCCTTCTCAGGAGGTACCTTGGAGGACAGGAAGCCCTCCCGGCTTACTGGCGTATGCCCTCTTGGGCACTTTTCCCAGCCAGCCACGCTGCCTGCTGAGCTCTGTAGGAGACTTGGTGTGGCTGAGGAAGATGTCCTGGGTCCCGGGATTGCACCGAGCATATTACTGACACGGAAATCAACTGACCCCCCTGAAACCGATGTTACACAGTGCCACCAGGGCAGGGATTCTCTGCCTATACTAGAAGCAGGAGATGTTAAGACAGACAGCCAAGCTGAGGCTGGGCCCTCCCGCCCTTCCCTGCCAGCATGGCCCTTTTCCTATGTGCTCTGGGCAGCCTACTAGAAAGCTGAGCTCCAAAAAGACGCTGCACTTGCTTTCCTGTTTCTCATAACCTTGCACTTGTACCTCCGTTCCTCTCCACCCCACACTACATTCACATGGGGGATTCCACAACAGTACAGAATCAGACAGGCTTGGCACACCGAGAGCAGGAACGGGGCACCTTGAGGAATGAATCTACATTCGCAGACACCCCAGGTAAAAAATCCCAACCATCGTAGCATACCAGAAGCTAAACCGATCGGACGGAAGGCAGCCTGATGGCTGATGAGGAATTTACAGACTTGGTGTTCTACAGCAACTGAATCCGGTTTAGTCCTAGTGGCAAGGGGGTCACTTCCGCCTTTAACCTGCCAGCCCCGTGCCTGATGCCCTGCAGGCCCAAAGACCGGCTGCCCACTCCCAGGAGGAAGGGCCTTTGGCCCTATCACAGCAGGACACTGCCTCCTCTCCCTCTTTTGTCTCCCTCTGCCTACATCTTGCTTAAGAGCCGGGGAGCAGCAAACCAGTTTTCCAAGGGGGTGAGAAGACCTGCAGCTGCTTCCATGCCAGTCTGCCCACAGCCAGCAGTGGGTGCAGCGGTGAGGAGCTGGGCTGCCATGCCTATAAAGCCTCCTGCAGAAGTGCTGCCTGTCACGGGGTGGCTGCGCCCCAGCTGCAGGCATGGCGACATGCTACTGCAAACCCACAAGCAGAGAGTCCCCAGGCACCACTTCTTGGAAAGCCCTGGCTTCCCATGCCCAGGACTGGCATGCAGGGCATGGCCACATCCAGCCAGCTAGTCACCAGGACAGATGCAGCCCAGGGACCACGTGGGACCTCTACCAAGGGACAATTCTAAGGCTGCTTCCCCAGGGACTCCTCCCAACTGAGTGGGCCAAATCAGCACAGCCCATTTCTGGAAGCAACCAAGACGTCCTTCCATGGGGTCAGTGAGAACAGCGAGGCAGAGGGCCTCCACTGGCAAACTCGTCTAACACGCGAGGCAGATTCTCCCCTTCTCATTTCACTGGCAAGCACGGGACCCCCGAGCCCCGCCTCCGGCCACACGGGGCCAGCTGGGAGGCCACATGGAGGGAGACCTGTTGGCATTCACAGCTGAACAAACGGAAAGGCACGGTGGGCACCCAAGGAGCCGGTCAGGCAGCCTGCGGACGGGGCGCCAGGCACTCGGCTCCAGCCTCGGGTCACCTGCAATGAAAACCACCTCTTGCCATCAGGGATTCAGGGACACGCAGGGGGTTTCTTAAACAGCCCCAAAGGGCAAGTATCCTCTGGATAGTATTTCCAGGGGAGAAAAAAGTTGTATTTTTCATGGGTGGGGAAAGAATGAAAAAGGGGCATTTTTTTTTTTTCCTTTTTAACTGTCACATTGAATAGTAGTCATCAATGTTTTCACTTGATCTTTAACAACTGAGTTTTGTTTTTGGTGTTTTGTTTGCTTTTAATTCTGGAAGAATCCCTGTTTCTAATGAGTGCACTGGTTTGGGAGGCATTGAGACACACCAGTTGGAGCACAGGTCGCCGAGGCCTGGGTGGCCCTTCACAATCCCCTCACGCCACCCGAGCACTGAGCAGCCAAAGCCGGTGGAAGCGGGGCGGGAGGGGCCAGCTGCCAAGCCAGCATCCCGAGAGCGTGCGGTCTAGCCGGCCCGGGGCTGGGTTCTCAGACGGCGGTGCTTGCACCCAGCGCTGCCCCCTCACCCCACCCCCCCCCACACACACACACATACAAACACACACTCGGAGAAAGCAAGACCCTAGCAGGCTCTTCTGGGACTCGGCGGAGCGCTTCCATTGAAAATAATGGAACTTGCCACTGGCGCACGTCTGATCCCGAAAAGGCAAGTCATTCTCGTTCGATCCTTGAAGACGTTTCTCTCTCGAGCCCCCCAGCCAGGGAGGATGGGGAGGAGAGATTAGAAAGGAGGATGGTCCATTTCATCTAGCCAAGAGGCTGGGCTGGTGGGAAAGTCAGGGTAGCCTACACTGCTTCCAGTGGAGATATCAGAGGTGGGTCCCCCAGCCATGGCTCTCAGCGCGTGGTTGACGCCCTGCCCCGCGTGTGCCAGGATGCCCAGATTACTGTCCACTGCGTAATCCAGCCCGTGGAGCAAAGGAGCGTGGGCGGGCAGGGACGATATGGAGGACGGAGACTGGGGGATCCCGTAGGGGCTCCCGTCCCCCATGTCCTGATAGGACTGTCCCGTCCCGTCCATGGAGAAGTTCCCAGTCATTAACTGTCCGCCTGTAACGTCCCCCACGTTGCCATAAATCCTATTGGTGTGGCCAAGTTCTGAGAGAATTTGATCCTCTGTGGACAAAAGAATGCAGATTTATTGTCAACTGTCGGGACCCAGAGGTCCCCCTGCTCTTCAACAACCTAGGAATACACAGGATCGGGACAGGGCACAAGCAGGTGGGGGTGATAAGGGCATCCCGCACCCACGGTAAGCCACGTGTGCAGAGGCCTTCTGGTCTACCTGGAACAGCAGCTCCCTATCAAAGCTGGGGCTTCCCGCTCTAATCAGGAAGCTCTCTACCTGGGAACCAAAGGATCCACCTGGTGAAAGCCAACAAGCTGTGTCTTCGCTTTAAGGCGAGAAAAATGGAACGTTTGACACCTGATGGAGTCGCCTCGTCAACAGAGGCGAGCAGCTCTGGGCCTAAGAAACAAGTTGATGGGACCTGCTCCGGGAGACCTGCTTGCAGCCCAACGGGAGCATGTGCCCTGAACACGCGCGTCCTGTCCTCTTGGGCTGCGGTAGCCCCGTGTGGACTCCTCTTTTCCACACAAGCCTGTGCTTCCCGCACCGTTCCCGGCAAGGCCCCCTCAGTCCGGGCTTCAGCAATCCATCCTCTCCTGGAGCCTGGCTGGGTCCCACCCCCCACACCCCTCAAGGAAAGAGGCAAGGGTGGACTCACGCCCTTAAAGGGATTGGGCAGTGGGGGCCCTGCTCCACCGCCATGCCGCCACGCCTCAGCCATTGCCTGCACCTGCCCCGGGCAAGCTACCCTGAGCGAGCCTAAGGTCGGCTCTGGCCGCTGGCCACCCACAATTCTGAGAGGCGGCCAGGCAGGGAGGAGGTGGTGGCTCCCCATTTACAGAGAAGGGAGACAAGCTCAAGGGAATCCATCCCACAGAGCCAAGGATCCAGAGACAGGGCCACCCTCCTCCCTTGCTCTCACCCAGGACCCTGCGAGGGCAAATGCTGAGCTTAATCCGAGGCCCCGCCCCCGTGGCAAGTAGGTGTTTACCATCTGATGCACAAAAGCTGGACAGAGTGCATGCTGCAAAGCTGGTATGAGTGCGGGAGGGGGCGGGGGAGAGGTGCAATGACAGGGGATTCCCAAGCACAGCCAGCTCCCTGGCTCCCATGCACCCTGGCTGCTGATCTCCCCGGGGGTTAGGGGCCTGTGTGTGGAGGGTCATTCTAGGGACCCTCAGCGGACCAGGCCAATGTCCTTACAGAGCGGAGCGTGCAGGAGAGACTGGGACCCGGGCCAAGACACATCCCCTGACCCACTGTTAGGGGGCAGGGGCCACTGGGTGCCAGGGAGGCCCAGCGCCCACAGCTCAGTGGCCAGACACTCATGCGTCCAGCTTGCAGGGGCTGCCAACCCCTGCACCCGCCCTCTGCCGCTTCAGTCCTGTGTTTGGGAGGCAGTGGCCCCAGGGACCCAGGAGTCACTGTTCCCCCGGGGACTTGCCAAGGGTCTCGGCCTGCTGCCTCCAGCCCTGCTCACCTCGGAAACTCAGCTCACTGTCACTAACCCCACAGTCCTCCGCCGAGCTCTCCTTTTCTTGCTTGCTGCCTGCCCGGCTCCTTTTGACGCTCTTGTAGAACTGCCCCCAGCGGTGCCGTCCCGCGTCCTTCTTGAGTCGCTTCTCCTTGGCACGGCGGTTCTGAAACCAGACCTGGAGAGAGAGAGAGAGAGAGAGATGGGTGCGGGGTGTGTCTGAGAGGCCAGGGCCAGCCAGCTCCTGCCCCTGGGCCACTCACCTGCACGACCCTCATGTCCAGGCCAGTCTCGGAGGACAGCTGCTCACGCACGTGCCGGGCAGGCTTTGGGGAGTTCTTGTAGGCGTTCTTGAGCGTCTCCAGCTGCTTGGCCGTGATGGTGGTGCGTGGCCGCTTAGCCCCAGTCTCGGAGTCGTCTGCGGGAGGGCACGTCTTACCGGGGCAGTGGGTGTGAACGGGTCCCCTCCCGCAGGCACAGGAAGAGGAGGAGGTCCCGCCTCCTCCCTGCCTGGCCGCCTCTCAGAGTTGTGGGTGGTCAGTGGCCACAGCCGACCTTGGGCTTGATCAGGGTGGATTGCTGAAGCCCTCTTCCCAGCCAGGATAAACCAGCAGGCCTGGGGCCATCCTGCACTTGGCCCCTATGGGAGCCGTTGCCAGGGCCACTGTCCCACAGCCCTGGGCTCACAGCCCAGCACACCCTGCAGGTGTCTAAGCAGTGCCTGCAGCACCCAAAAGCTTCTGGAAACCAGTGCAGCTACAGGAAGGTGAGGTGCTCCCTGGGTGGCCCGTGCTGTCTGTTGTGTTGGGTCAGGCACCGAGAGGGCACCATGCATGTCTCCTCTTGAACACTTGGGCTCACTTCCCCACAACACCCTCGAGCAACAGAGTCAGGTCAGGCACCAGGCCTCTTGTGAGCCCTAATATCTCAGCTGCCATTATGGTACTGGCATCCCATGTGGTCACCGGTTCATATCCTGGCTGCTCCACTTCCTATCCAGCTCCCTTTTTATGGCCTGGGAAAGCAAAGGAGGACAGCCCAAAGGCTTGAGATCCTGCACCCGCATGGGAAACCCAGAAGAAGCTCCTGGCTTCGGATTGGTTCAGTTCCAGCTGTTCTGGCCATTTGGAGAGTGAGCCAGCTGATGGAAGATTTTTCTCTCGGTATCTATAAATCTGTCTTTCCAATTAAAATAAGTAAATCTTTTTTTAAAAAAAATCATGTCTAAGAGAGTCTTCAAAAAGTTTACGGGAATGTACATTGTGAAAAGCAACTTGTATAAGTTTCAAAAATTTCTGCACCAAGATAAACACCAGGATTTCTAGAAAGGCTTGCGTAGGTTTCCCTGTATGGCAGATGAAATAATGAAACCACCACAAATATGTTCATTCCTAACTACTCAATACCAAGAGAGGGGAGTTAGCAGCGCTTGCTACCAGGGCTGGCCACTGGTGTGGGACCCCGCGCCCAGTAGGCAGCTGGCGGCACCATACAGACTGCTCCCACGCATGGGACTCTGTTCTTGTGATGGCGGGGACTATTATGCAGTGATTTTAACGTTCACTGTTATTATAATTTAAAATCTTTTTTATATCCTGTAACAATGTCATCCAAGTGTTCATTAAGAAGTGGTGGCCGAGTTCATACTGGGAAAAAAAATGTACCCAGAAATAAACAGCCTTGGTTATAGAAGTTAAATGTGATAAAAAAGAAAAAATGAAAAAAACCCTCTGAGGAAAGCCCAACACGCCCAGGCTTGCCCTGGCTGTTAATTTAGCAGAGAGCATTCTGCCAGGTATTAGAGCTAATGCTAAGAAAAGAAAGATAGCACTGGTTATGGGTTCATGTGCTTCCAGAATAACACCCCCCACCGCCACCCCTGCCAACTTCTCCCTTTAATTCCTGCGGGAAAATAAGTCTAAAAATGTGTTAGTTTTGAATTCTGCAGGGTCTCCTGGAACTTGTCCTTAGCATCAGATGCAGCCTCATTCTACTGATAATACAGATATCCGGGGAGACGGAGGAAATGAGCAGAACCGTTCCCACTCAGGTGCAAGTGGCTGCCATTGGAGCAACTCAAGGGAGGGGACTGCCAGCCACAAGGAGGAGGCCGCACAGTGGGAAAGCGCCCACATACATCCCCGGCAGACAAGGCCGTGGTCCTGCGTGGAGGGCCCTCTCGCTGCCCAGGCAGGGGTTGTCTTCAGCTACCAGCAAGGCTCGGGAACCTGGGGGATACACCACAACTTCCCGGAAACCCATGACTGCTTTCCTTCACCTGCTGTGACACTCCTCTCCCACACCGTCCCCTTCTTACCTGACACCTCACAGGCTTCCCCTTTCAACCCACAGGAGACAGCCCTGTATGGCAGGCCCAGTTAGTCCTATGAACAGCTGAGCAGCCCAGCGGCCAGGGGACCTCCAAGTTCATGGAGATGCAGACCAGGCCTCAGACTCCAAAGGTGGTGTCTTTCCATTGTCCCGCACTGCTCTGCCACGGTGCAGATAAGAAGTGACCCTGTAGGGCTCACTCCTGCCACCCCAGCTGATCATAGCAAGCCAGGCTCTTCACCCTTCTCTCCTGCACTGTCCACAGCACCCGGAGGGGCCAGGCCAAGACCATTCTGGGTACAAATGAGCTCTCTGACAAGGAGGACGAAGCCAGCTACCCAGGTCTGTGGTGGGGGCACTGGAGTTCATGGGACCCACACCCTGTTCCGTGGGACTGTGTGAGCAGCCCTTCTCATGGAGCATGCAAGCGACCAGAGTTCATGAGCTCAGCCTTGGCACAGGTGCGCAGGGGCCAGGGCTTCCACAGGAAGGTCACCAAAGATCTCTGTGTACCTGCAAGGCCAGAGTCGTGGGGAGGAGGGGGAGGAGGTCCCAGAGGCTACCCTGGCCCCAGGCCTCAGCACCCACGGCCAGGGGTGTTCAGAAGGAAGTTGCCGCAGAGCCCGGGTGGGGTGGGGGGAGGCCTGCAGGATGGGCTGCTTACCGTTCTGCTTGGCCGTCTCGTAGTCTTCCTTGCACACCAGCCGCCCATCCTCCAGGAGGTAGAACTCGTCACCCGTGGCCAGCTGCCGGCTGCAGATGATGCAGGCGAAGCAATGCAGGTGGTACACGAAGTCCTGCGCCTTGCGGACCACCTGGGTCGGGGGGATGCCCTGCTGGCACGCCGTGCATTTCGTGCCGAAGCGCCTGGCAGGGCAGCACAAGAGGGTGAGGGTGAGGAGTGGGCGTCAGTCTCTTCCCTCATCCCTCACTCCCCGGCATAGCCTCCCATCCCAACCCCAGCTGCCAGGGTAGGACACGGGGAGCAGCCAGGCCCTCTCTGCCTCCTGTGTAGGGCTGGGGTGCACAGGTCCCATGTCAGCTACCTCCCCCTGCTGCAGAATCACTCTGCCTCATCACGCGCTGCCACAGGAGGAGGCACATGGGGCTCTCCTGCCACCTGCCTCTTTGTACCTTTCGCTGCACTGCACGTACACAGAGGTGCTCCATGCAGGCCTGAGAATTGCTGAAATGGGGTGGGCCCCCCAGGCTGCCCCTCCACGCCCTGCTCCTGCCCCCAGGACAGCAGCGTGCAGAGCTGTGCGGGAACCCGCTAGACCTCTCCCCAAGGCCACAGCATTCCAGGAGGCTCCAAGGCAAGAGCCAGTGTCACTATGGCTGGGACGGAAGGAGACACAGGAAAGGAATGGCCCCGGGAAGCCTGGAAGCCCACTGCGGCCAGACACACGGAGCACTCCCCCCTGCCCACTTCCCCAGCACTGGTGAGCAACCTGGGAGTGGCGGGGCCTGGATGTGGCACTTGCTACAGGCGGGAGGCAGCATGGGGGGTGGGCAGGGAGGCAGGGGCAGAGTTTAAAACAGCAATCAACCTAATTATTCATGACATTTCACACAGCAGAACTTTATCTTCTTCAGGATGAAAGACTTCGCCTAATGGATCTGGGGAAGGTTTGATTTTAATGGTCCTTTTAACTAATGCTTATAGGCAGCCCGATTTCCCCTGAAAGGACAGTACATATTTCATCCACATTAATACCAAATAAATTAATTATGGTCACAGCTATCATGATGAATCCCAGATTAATGCCGAATGATGGGTCTCTGTATGCGGTAATGACACCTGCCGAGAGGGCAGGAGGGGCCTGGTGCCCGCGGGCATGGGACCAGCGATGGCTTCAGAAGGTCCTGCCAGGGGCTGTAGTCCCAGAGAGAAGGGGTGTGCGTCTGCACCCACATGTGGAGCCCCCAAAGATCCAGGAGCATAGCCCAGGGGCCTCCTTTTCAGAGGCGAGTGCTGGGGCGCTGGGCTATGAGGGGCTGACTGTCTCTGGGGAAGATGGGAGGGGTTCCTGAGGAGCTGTGAAATCTCCTCCCCAAAGCTGTTCAAAACGCTGCATTGGGGGGTGGGCACTCTGCTGCAGGGGTCAAGCCACAGCTGACAGCTCCCGTCTCCCCTCTGCAGTGCCTGGGTTCAAGTCCCAGTTCCACTTCCAACTCCAGCTTCCTGCTAAGGTGCACGTGGGGATGCAGGAGGAGGTAGCTCAGTTACTGGGGTCTCTGCCACCCCTCTGGGAGACCCCGACTGGCTTCCTGATTGCTGGCTTTGGCCTGGCACAGCCACGGCTGTTGCAGATTTGGGGGAATTTACCAAAAGATGAGAGATTCTCTCTCTCTCTCTCTCTCTCTCTCTCTCTCTCTCTCTCTCCTTGCCTTAGTATTTGTTGAATGAAGAAATGAGTGGGTAAAGCAGCACGCTTTGGGAAGCTGTGGGGGGATGGTAAGTCTGAGAGTGGGATACAAATGGCACGATCAGCTCTGGGGGTCTGGGCCATCCAGGACACAGGGGGAACCAGCTCTCCCTACAACTGTGGTCTTACCCATCATCTGTATCAAAGGAGAAGGGAGCAGGCAGGTGTACCATCCATCAAGTGGGTGCAACCAAGACCAAGGCTGGCTGCCTCTGGGTTCCTGGGAACGTGTTCCTATCCTGTTTCAGAATTGTGTGCTTTTCCGATCCAGTCCTGGCTAATGCACCAGGCAAATGTTAGAAAGACACGAGGCACTCAGGCACTGAAGTGGCCCAGCCGTGTAGACACCTGCGGCCTGGAGGCTCAGCACGGCTTCACATCCAGTTCCAGCTTCCTGCTCATCAGTACAAACCCTGGGAGGCGGCAGGTGGTAACGCCAGGGATCCCTGCTGCCCACCTGGGAGACCTGCGATGAGTCGCCAGCCCCCAGCCTAGTGTTGGTTGCTGAAGGCCTTGGGGCAGTGAGAGAGCAGCTGGGAGCTTGCTTTGCCTCTGAACGAAACTGTGACCTCCCCAGGCCCACGGACAGCCCTCCCAGCCCAGGAGACCACCCAGGTACAGAAGCTGGCTTCTAGTCCTCTATGCAACGTGGTGGAGCAGAACTGAGTTCTGAGAGGAGATTTTTCCCAGACACAGTGAGATCCTAGCTCGGTGACCGGAACACACGGGTGGTAGACCCCGCCCCGCCCCCCGGCCCCTCCCAGAAGGAGGCCGCATCTTCCTCCACTAAAAGCAGACACGGGCTTTCAGAAACCAGGAGCCCAGTAAACACTAGCACAGCAGAGACATGAAAGATAACGGGGTATAAATTTAATCTGCAGGCCGACAGTGATTCATGTACGCGAGTGGCAAGTGCACAAGAAAAATGAAAAATAAATGGACTTTCCCACCAGCGTGTCTTAGCAATTGAAGCAATTTTCCTGATTGTGGGATTTATACCCATGGAAAGTGGAAGTCGCTCCTCGTTACCTTTCTGCCCTCAAGCATGGGCAGCAGGACCCTGGCCAAGCCTCCCCCCCCCACCACACACCCCAGAGCCCCCCCCACACACACCTTGCCTGGCCCTATGGCCACGCTTGCTGCACCTGCAGTCAGAGCCAAGGGCCAGCTTGTGACCTTGAGGATGTAAGGAACACACCCTCTAGTTTCCAATCTGAGGCCAGCCCAGGGAAGAAAGCATGGCCCCAAGGAGATGCCACCCATGGTTACAGCCCTGTGATCCCAAGTGTGGCCGGCCTGGGGGCCTGGCTGCTCCCAGGGTACCACGACCCAGCCTAGGAAGGAGCTCTGAACCCCTACCTGGTGCAGGGCCAGTCTACTTGGGGATGGCATGAGGGCAAGCCGCACACTCCAGATCAGTGCTGCTGGTCAGCCCCGCCTGGACCCTGCCTCCCCCTGGGAAAGGCAACTGGAGTGGAGCCAAAGCACCTGCCAGGAGCACCTGCCTGTGGTCCCTTCCCACCACCGGGAGTTCTGCCCCTGCTGGGCGCGTAGTAGTTAGCAACAAAAACTCAGTGAATGAAGCAGCAAAGAAACGGGCAAACTGTTACTCAAAGCGTGAGCCGGAGTGATCAGAGATGAAGTGGCACTCCCATTCTCCCACGCCCTCCTCCAAAGCCTTTCTCAGAAGCCAGCCCTCTGTTTAACTGCAGGCAGAATTTGCCCTCCCACATGGCTGTCACTGTCACTCTCACACCTCCGTGCCTGCTGGGTGACCAGCTGGAACAGAGGACACAGTGGCTCCTGACGGCAGCGACAGCAGAAAGCAGGATTTGAACTTCATGCTTCTGGCGCAGCACAGTTGACCTACTGTGCACATCATGGGCAGAAAGAGCCAGTCCGGGAGCTCCTACTCTGAACTTAAACTTGAAAGGAGAGGACCCCTGAGTCCCTGAGCAGGGGGGCTCAGCCCTTGACTGCTGGCCTTGCCAAGGGAGACCCCACCCACAGGTGTGTTCCTGCGACAGTCCTGCCAGGCCAAGCTCCCAGGGCCGGCCCAGGTGTGAGGGTCCGCACGACTGATGTGTCTGGATGTTGTAGAAAGCTGGCAACAGGCAGGCCTTGTAAAGCCATAATCCTACACCACAGGTGTCTGGCACCCTTCTGGACGTACTTTCTGTCCATGATCAGATGCAGGGAAGCTTCCACAGTACTCATGAAAATATCTCCCACCCACACACAAGCACCTAATATGTGTCCACTGTGTCCCACCAGTGTGCCTGAGTGGTCACCTTCGGGACCTCAGCCACAGCCCTGGGCCTAGCAGGCCTCGGCAGCCCAGGCTCCTGGCTCATCACCTCCTGCACAGCTCCCAGCTTCCACCTGCCTCCACCGTCACCGCCATGATCTAACTGGACCTGTGTCACCAGCACCTGCCATGCAAGAGTGAACTCACACCGTCCTGTTGTGTACACACCCATGCCTGCCACCAGGACCTGCTCGCTCCATCCCAGACCTGGCCTCCGCCCCAGCGCCTGGCCTGGCTGGCTCCATGTGCCCATCAACGCCCTGCAGCACCTGCCTTCCTGGCTTCCTTAGGAGAAACCACAGAGCATCATCCCTCTTGCCTCGCCGGGTCCTCCCAGCTCCAGCCCTTCCATCATTGGTCTCCTTCTCTGCAGACCTTCCCCTGCACAGCACATTATTTCTGCAACTTCAACAGCCCCACGTTCCCCACCCATGCGTGATGGCTCCTCACTGCAGAGCACAGCCCCTCCGAGCAGATCCTGGAGGTCTGCACCCACCTGCGCCCTGGCTCCCACCTCCTGCTGCAGCTGCCACAGGCTCTCTTCTGCTGCACGCAGACAGGGCCCCCTCCCTCCCTCCCCTTCAGGCCCAGCAGGCCAGCCCCTCCACGACCCTCCTGGATCCACAGCTCAGGATCCCAGGCCCAGGGAGGTGCTTTGGCGCCTCACATGGGGCACTCCTGAGTCCACCTGCAGCCGTACACCCTTCTGCCCCAGTCCAAACCAAAGCTGCACTCAGCCAGGGCACCCATGAGCAGAGTGTGACCAAGTTCACAGGCAGTCCCCACTGCCCCTGACCTTCCAGTTGCTCAAGTTCCCCTGGCCATGGGGTCCTACTTCCCTAGGCAGCTCCTGCTGGGACTATGGGCAGCTCTCTCCTCCCTGGCCCAGAGCCCAGCTCCAGCTGCTCAGGCCAAGACCTTGCTTTCCACCCCAGATCCCATCAATGTGAGAGCCACATGGCAAGAGCCAGACTATGCCTCCCATCCCCACAGCTTCTGAGGGAGCTCCCAGCTCCAGCCTGCCCCAGACCCACCATCTCTCCCCTGCACTTAGCAGCCACACCCCTTGCCCAGCCTGCTCCAAGTCTCGCAGTGGCTCCATCCCACTCAGGGTCTAAGACAATGACCGG